CACACACATATACACACAACCACACAAACACACACACAAACACACACAAACACACATATACACATATACAAACACACAAAAACACACAAACACTGAAACACACAAAAACACACAAACACTGAAACACACAAACACACACACACACACACACTGAAACACACAAACACACACAAACACACATATACACATATACAAACACACAAAAACACACAAACACTGAAACACACACAAACACTCAAACACACACACTGAAACACACACACACACACACACACACAACACACAACACACACACACACACAACACACACTGAAACACACAAACACACACACATATACACACACACACTGAAACACACAAACACACACACACACACTGAAACACACACATACACACACATATACACACACACAAACACTGAAACACACACACACACACACACTGAAACACTCACTGTTTACTTGTTTATTTGTTTACTCGTTTACTCGTGTGTTTTCAGCTCCAGAAATGCAAATATTTATAACTTGTATTTTAGTTTTTACAGATGTGGATTTGTAAATTTTTCTATTTTCATTTGCAAAAAAAACTCTGTTTGTAAAATAGAAAATTTGGTTTGTGAAATGTGATTCATATTTGTGAATCATAAATGAAACTCACATTTTTCCTGTGACGAGTTTTTGAAACTTTGTTTCAGAGAAATGCACAAACACCCAGGATCCTGTGGAGGGCGCCGTCCCTACAGACGTGACCCGACTTTAATCTGAAATCTGTGTAACTGGCAGAGTTCCCACGGTCATGGAACTCCTGGAAATTGAAAATATTATTTTCCAGGCCTGGAAAACTCATGGAATTGTGTAAATTCAATGAAAGTTTTGTAAAAGTCCTGGAGTTTAAGTCTGTTTCTTCTTGGCTCCAGGTTTGTTCAGTTTTCATGAGTTTGTTGTGATTCTGTGTGAACGTCTGAGGCTTTAGTTTAAAACAGACAAGAAATAAAAAGAAACTCACTGACAGGATTTAAATGTTCAAAACCTCTAATCCCAAACCACAAGGTGAGTGGGAAGAGTTCATGTTTCAGATTCACACTAAAAGTCTGATCTGTTCTACACATGTAGGTGCTGGAAAGTCATGGAAATTCACTTTAGTCTTGAAAAAGTCATGGAAAAGTTTTAAAATGTCGTCAGTGAAAAATAGTAGGAGCCTGGAATTGTTGATCCACGAATGTGAATCACATTTTACAAATTCATTTATTTTTTTTGCAAATGAAAATAGAAATATTTACAAATCCACATCTATTTGTAAAAACCAAAATACAAGTTAAAAAATATTAAATTTTGTGGATCAAAACACACGAACAAACCCACGAGTGTTTGTGACTGAGTGTCTGAAGATTCAGACTCGCAGACGAGACCCGAGGACTCGCCGAGCTTTCACCAGACGCCGAGACTCCGAGACTCGCAAGGACTCGCCGAGACTCGCAAGTACTCGCGGGGACTCGTAAGGACTCGCCGAGACTCGTAAGGACTCGCCGAGACTCGTAAGGACTCGCCGAGACTCGTAAGGACTCGCCGAGACTCGGAGACTCTGAACCGTGGACGTGTTTGGTGTTTTTCCCTCGACAGGACAACAGGGAAAATCTGTGTTTGAAAGTTTTTTATGAACATTTGAGAAACTGACAAAAAGAGCTTTGATAATCTCACAAACACAAACATTAGAAAGAAAAAAGTTTGAATAAAAAAGTGAGTAAAATAAAACTTAAGAGTCGTGTCTCCCTCTCCCCAGACACTTCCTCCTCCTCCTTTTTTCTCTGTAAAATGTGACGTCGGTTCAACTGTGGAAGAAAATTTGTTCCATTAGATTTTTCACTTTGAATTTTCAAACTCTGCTAAACTGAAGATGTTTCAATTAGTTTTATTCTGAATTTTAGTTGCTGGAATTTTAATTGTGAAAAAATCTTCACTTTTTAAATATTCAGCACAAATATTTTAAACCTTCAAATTCAGAGTGTGAAGTTTTGCAGCAAAGATCCAAGGGGCACGAGTCTGATCATCATCGACGCTCCTCCCCTCAGGAGGAGCAGCGGCTCTACTCCGAGCTCCTCTGTCTCTAAGGGAGACGCCCGGACGCCTGCGGAGGAAACTCATCTGTGGATCTGGTCCTTCGGGTCATGACCAGAGGTGATTTTTTTATATTGAATTTTAAACACTGTAAATGTAAACTTCAAATTTCAGCAACTGAAATTCTGAAAAAAAAAATCAAACATGTTTTTTCAGAGATAAAAATTCACCAGTGTTTAAAATTCAAAATCTGATGAAACAAACGATGTTCCACATTAAAGTCAAACCCACACGTGCACGTGAACAGAGTGCACGTGAGCGTGCACGTGAGCGTGCATGTGACCTCTGACCTCAGGAGGATGATCTGCTCTGAAATGTGAAGCACGAGTTTAAACCGATAAAACACAAACACACACACACACACACACAACAACAAACACACAAATATACACACAAACACAAATATACACACACAAACACACACAAATATACACACACACACACAACACACTATACACACAAACAACACAACACAACACACACAAATATACACACATATACACACAACACAACACACACAATATACACACACAAATAATACACACACACAATACACACACACACACAAACATACACACACAAACACACACAACAAACACACACACACGTTGTGTTTCTGAGTCGTTCTGTCCTCCAGGTGGTGTCGGTCTGTGGGCCAAAGTGTTTTGCTCAAAGACACAGAATCAGTACTGGGTTTGAACCAACAACTTCTGCACTGAACCAGGACTAAACCTCTCACCCTGACCACGTGCCTCTGAGCAACACACTTCAACACATCAAAGGGACCAGGACTAAACCAGGACTAAACCAGGTCTAAACCAGGTCTAAACCAGGACTAGGACTAAAACCAGGTCTAAAACCAGGTCTAAACCAGGTCTAAACCAGGTAAAACCAGGTCTTAAACCAGCTAGGACTAAACCAGGAACCAGGTCTAAACCAGGACTAAACCAGGGACTAAACCAGGTCTAAACCAGGTCTAAACCAGGACTAAACCAGGTCTAAACCAGGTCTAAACCAGGTCTAAACCAGGACTCTAAACCAGGTCTAAACCAGGTCTAAACTAAACCAGGACTAAACCAGGTCTCTAAACCAGGTCTAAACCAGGACTAAACCAGGTAAACCCAGGGTCTAAACCAGGTCTAAAACCAGGTCCTAAACCAGGTCTAAACCAGGAACTTAAACCAGGTCTAAACTAAACCTAAAAACCAGGTCTAAACCAGGTCTAAACCAGGTCTAGGTCTAAACCAGGACTCCAGGACTTAAACCCAGGACTAAACCAGGACTTTGTGTGTATTTACTTTGTTGGTGAGTTGAGGGTTAAATTCCCGGCAGATTAACCCGAGTCGTGTGTTTGGGTCACGAGCGGCTCCAGAGCAGAAGCTGAAGTTCTGTGAGGAAGACCAGGGTCCAGGATGAAGAAGGTTCCTCTGCTCCTCTTGTCTCTGTCCATGGTTCTATCTTCAACCAGAACCGACGGAACCGACCTGGAGACGTTCTCCGAAAACCAGGAGCGGGACGGGACTGGACCACGAGCCGAGGAGGAGAAACCACGAACCCCCACGAAGGATCACGAGACGGAACCAGACGCCGCGTTCCACAGCGTCGACTCTGCGCCGAGGAACCGCGGAGGTGTGGAGAACTCTGAGAACGTGGGCCAAAGCCAGCGGGTCGATGGAGCTAGAGAAGAGAACGTGTCAAAAAGTCCAAACGATTTTCAAACTGGGATTCAAAATTCTACAAAACTGAGCGACAAAAATCAGAGCGAAGAATCTGAACTCGAAAAGAATCTGGTTCAGAAGATTGAGCGAATGATTAAAGAAAACTCTGAAGATCAAGATGCAAAAATGGAGCAAAAACTCACTGAAAATATTCAAATTCAGACAGGAATGTTCACAAATTCTAAAATTCTGAAAGAGAAATTAAAATCTGGCAAAGAAAAATCAGAAAAAATAAAACTGGACACAGAAAATGAGCCACAAAACACCGAGGACGGACTGAAAAAAGACTCAGAAATACTTCAAAATTCTTCAAAAATATTTCTAAATTCCGAAGAAATCAAAGCCCCAGAGACGAGATTCAGTTTGGAGACGAATTCTACCGAGGAGGAGGAAGAGGACGGGTTCACGAAAAGGAATTTGTCGAAAGAATTGATTTTAAACGACGCAAAAGAGGACGAGACGAGCCCGATTCAAATCCAAAATCTCCAAACTAAAACCGAAGCCGATCCTGGTTCCACACGTGACGGAAAATCGACTGAGAGGAAAGACGAGGAACTTTCCAAAACACATTTACAAGGTTTTTCAGATTCAGAATTGGCCCAAAACGAAACTCAAAATTGGCACATTACAGAAAAATTAAAAAAGTCAGAGGCAGAAAATGTGACAGAAAAGAAAGACGAGAGCGAAGGAGGTTTTAAACGGGGACCGAGAAACAAAGACGAGGAACGAGATTTGAAAATGACACCTGAAATTCCAAAGAAAAACGAGCAGAAAATTCAAAATGTTTCTGAAAATTTGACAAAAGAAAAAACAGAAAATCAAAATGAGAAAAATGAAACAAAAACTGTGGATTTGAGGAAAACTCAGGACCAGGACCAGGACCAGGACCGGACCCTGAGACCGAGACCGACCCGGGACCTGGAGGACTGTGGGGGCGGGGTCCGGGTCTTGGATGATCTCAGGTCTGAACTCGGACCGGACCCGACAGACCGGTTCAGCCTGGATCCTGACCAAGAGTTGGACCTGCTGGAGGATCTGCCAGGACTTCACCCCGAGGACCACAGCATCCAGGACCTGGACTCTGCCCTGGACTCTGGTCTGGACTCTGGTCTGGACTCTGGTCTGGACTCTGCTCTGGACTCTGGTCTGGAGGAGGATCTAGACTTGG